GACTCTACGGCACATAACAACAACAACAACAAATATTTGTCAGACCAAGCACATTATATATACTATTTAATTTAATTATTATAATTATCCAAAGTTACACAATTGTAAAAAGATGGATCTAGATCTGTTTAACAGCAATATCATTGCTTTTAGGCACCACACCTCACTGAAAGCGTACCTGTAACTAAGCTAGTCTTCCAAGTGTTTTCTGAGTTTATATGATTCTCCTGAGAATATTACCTCAACACACTCCAAAAAATTATCATGCTGCCTGATAAAGAGGAGTACCAGTTAGCTAGCTCTGTCAATACATTATCTAGGGACTCCCTGGAGGATGCCAGGACATGTTACAAATAACATCAACCAAATTTGGGAGCAAAAAATGAAACAATGAACAGTAGAGAGTCTATAAAATAGTTATAAGGGGACTTGACAGAAGCCCTGGATTTTGTTTTATATCATAGAACCACTTTGTTTTGTTTCGTTTTTTTAAAACAAAACAACTCTCAAAAATAAAAAAGACACTTACTTAATCTGATGGTCATTTCCTTGCATATGAGACCGGAACATTTCTGACGATGTAAAGGTAATACTGCAAATACGGCAAATGTAGGTTCTCATATTAAATGCTGGGGAAAAAAACTCAGAAATTTCAAATTAAGATAGTAAGATGCACTTGAATCACATACTGTTAGAGTTGGACAATAATTAAGTTAGTCTTTCAAAGCCCATATGTCTTAAGTTAAAGTCAGAATTCTTTTCAGTACATCACATTGTTTCTCCAGATCTGAGTTGTTTCCTCAGAAATTGCTTATTTCCTGCTTAACATCACTATATGATGTCCACCAGGCACCACAAATGTAACCTTTGCCTCTTTTTTTTTTCAAGGAAAAACAGCAGTATTTTATTTTATTACAAATAAGCATTTCACAAAAATGTAACTGGGAATGTATATGTACTGTTAAGCAGAACACGGAAAACATTAAAAAAAAGGTATTGGGACCTAAAATTTCAGTTAAAATGGTATCAATATTGTATTCCATGTTGTAGTTTCTTGGTATATAGCAAATGAACGGCAAAGAAACGCTTGAAAACTGTAATGCTGTAGTAGTAAAGTACAATTTTCAAAGATGAGATTTTGTCTATCAGATTTTTTTAAAGCCTTTAAAAATATGATATGCATTAGATTACCCTGAGGGAAAAAGAAGATGGAATATAGACTATAAAATCTTTATCTATTTTCCACAGTAGCATTTTGAAACTGGAAAAGAGTAAATAGCGGCGGGGGGCAGGGGGAGAGAAACCAAACCAGCCTATTACTAAAAATTCAGTGCACTTATAACTACCTGATGGAAAATTTAAAGCATCTGTTTTCTAGCTTTCTTACATCTTAATATGAAATGTATGAATTATATAAGCCTTGATCTTAAGAAACTTAACAAAACTTCAAGTTATAAGCCAAAATATCTTCAGAAAAAACCTTGATATAAAATCTGCTACCATAAGGCCACTGTTACAGGTTCTTTCATGTGCATACATTATACAATTCAGACACTTCTATTTTTGATATATAAGCAAAACTTTTAACCTTATCTATGCCTGGATATAACACAGTTCATGTCTTCCTTAAGAATCTATGCCCAGAGGAAAATAATGCACCAGCAAATAATGCTCTTTAAATGGTTCTTTTGAGACTTTTGCAAAAACCAAACCACACCAATTATACTTAATACAACTTTTAAAGTCAATACTATTATTTAAAAGCAACTGTTAACATGTAAAAAGGTTGCAGCATTGAACTATTCGAAAAGTTGTTTTAATCCAGAAAGTTACAGTATTAATGTCGTGGTGTCAATTTTAATTCCTGATAAAGAGAGATGTTTCCCAAAATCTTCCCGTGGTGTCATCTCCACTTGTAAAAATTCCAGTTTAGATTTCTGTGGCCATATTTTTATATTTCTTGCTGGGCTTCTGAACAAACTTTCTAAAACTTGGTTTTGAGAAATAGACAGATTTTTTTATTCCATCATCATTGGTATTCTTCAAATTTGAAAAACGGGAACATTGTTCATTCCTGTCCGAGGCACTAGCTGCTTGAAAAATTTGTCCACCTTCAAACTGCAGTCGTTCTTTTCTCCTCTCAATGTCATGTCGTAAGTCATTTGGATCTATCACTTTAACTGGACTCTGATGTAATTCATAGTCCATAGTTTTTTTATTCTGAAGCTCAGTCAAAGACATATCTATTATCCTATGAATCTGAGGATCTGATTTCAGTTTAACTTCATCCACATGTACATCTTGTGTAGTTTGCAATTTTGAAAAACGTTCATGTAGAGTAATGCCATGTGTTGGAAAATAATCTTCTTTAAGTTGATGGATTATTGTTATAATTTCCTGAGTAAATTCTCCTGTAGGTTTGTTTTCAATATTCTGAGTTGAGTCAAGATGTTCAAACACTGGATGAAAGTTTTCACTTTTCCTGCCAACAGCAACCAAATCATGTGACATCTGTCTCTCTGTGGAATAGCTAGGAGCAATCCTGGATGGATCTACTCTATTCTTCACATTTACTTTAACTGTTAGAAATTTCTTCTGATGACTGAAATATGTGGATTTCACTTCTGAAAGGTTTTTACTTTTATCAAGATAGTTGCTGGAAGAATTGCCCTCTTTTGTTAAATTCTCTTGTTTCTTCACTTCTCCCTCCAGTTCTTCATTAGAAGGTCTCAAATCAGTAACAGTTTTATTTGAACGAGTACCAGCTGGGCAGTTTTTCTTAGTTTGCTTAAAAGGTACTCTGACTAGCTCATCGTTAGTCTCTCTCCCTCTGCCAGCATTAAAATATTCTGATTCTCTTGTTACAGGGCCTTTTTGAAAATTGTTCTTTCTATCTTTTTCCTTGGAGTACTTCTGAGTTCTTCCATCAGAAAAGTCCTTGCTCTCATCTGAGGGTTTGGTGTGCCTGCTGCGGTAGTCATAGGATATCTTGGTTACTGGGTCAGTCTCGGAGTCTTCTTCCTTGTCAGCATGACGAGTCTGCAGTTCAGAGTTCTTTGAACTTTTCTTTTCTTGATAAGGTGAATGAGAAGGGATGGACTTCCACCTCGGATGCTTGGCAGGCTCTCTTCTTTCATACCTCTCCATGTTGTCAGGTCTTTTTGGCGCATAGCGGAATTTTCGGAAATGACGATCTTCAGGATACCTTTTCTTAAAAGAGCTCCTTGTCTCAAAGTCTTCATAATTTCTTCTGGGTGTCTGGGGATACTGTTTTTCTTTTGTCCACTGGGACCTAAATTCATCTTCATGCCACTTTTCTTCTAATTGGGAAGAATTTGCTACTGACCTCTGAGGTGGTTTTCCTCTTTTCCCACTTCCTCTACCTCTGTAGTCATCAGGAAAATACCTTCCTCGCTCTTTCTGGGGATAACAATTCCTCTCTTGCTCAGAACTACTTTCTGCGTATTTTGGCATATACTGAGATCTTCTATTAACGGTCCCTCTTCTTGGTGAATAAATTTGGTAGGGCTTATAAAAATTTTCTGAAGTGTTTCTTCTTAGGTTTGGGGAAGGTGATCTATATTCATAAGGCCGGTAGTACATATTTTCATGAGAAAGAGTGCTTGTTTTATTCTGCCTATATTTCTCATTGTCCATTCTCCAAGCAATGGGTCTTCTGGGATCCTTCCTATAGTCAGAGCCATAATATCCATAAAAATGTCTTTGTTTATAGTTGTCAGAATTTCTAGGTACTGGTGATAAAGACCTTGGTTTCCACCTGGGGGATCTAGATCGAGAACTTGCCATCCTTTGACATGTGAGACACTATCCACTTTTTACCCTCCAGAAAGATGAGCCCCTGGAGAATGCCTGGTCACTTGCTCAGATGCTCAGTCGGCAGAACTGGACTTCAGTATAGTAGAGAATAGTTGGCACACTGCACCACCTCTAAATTTGGAAAGCAGTTTATGCCCTCTAGCTGCCTGGGCAAACTATAGCCCCCTCCGCCATGACAGACTCTCCGGCGCGCGGGGGTCACAGCCTTCCCGACGACAAAAAAAGGACCAGGGTCGCGCGGCGCAGGTGCTGAGGTCGCGCTCGAAGGCAGACCCCGGCCAAATCGGTCCTGAGCTGCTCAAGAGAAGGATCCCGCGGGACTGGAACCCCGCCGCGGCATCCTCCGGCGGCCCCACCCGCCACATGGAGAACCGCCCTCTCCAACCTTTGCCTCTTAATGCCTCAATAAATTTCTTCCTGTGTGCACTTAATTTTCTTTCCTTCCAATCAAAATCTGAAGTGTTCTCAAAGAAATGAAAACAAACAAAAGCAAATTTTTACTCTTCTGCCTGTGACTCATAGCTGACCTTTCAGCATTGTTATATGCCACAGAATTGGAACTGACTCATAGCTGACTATGAGTGGGTTTTCAGAGGCAGTTAATCGCATGGGTGATTGCCCATCCTTCTCCCAAAGAGTGGCTGGTGGATTTGAACCGCGTGCCTTTGGAACTGCAGAACAGTGCTTCTTATCATAAGGCCAGCAGAGCTCCCTAGAAATTACTGACTTCAGTATTTTATAGAGAGTAATTTTCATGGACACATGTGATTTTAGAAAAGAGAGACTCAGTTATACTCACACAGGATGAAAATGCAAGCAAATTCTAACAAAAATAGCACACAGAGACACAACAAACAAAAAACTCAAAAACAAAAACACAAGCAGAAGATGACAGACTCCTCACTCATGCCTCACCCCCGCCCCATGAACAGCAAAATCTTGCTAGGGTTTTCGGCTGACCCTTCCATCTAGCATTGACTCTAAAATTGCTCTGTCATAATTTATATCTGATTAATTTTGTCAGGCAGCCTGTTGAGTGCAGTTTTAGCTAAGACAGTACCATTAGCCACTGTCTCCTTGGGTCATTTATTCACTTGAAAAGATATCAATTTGGGCAATTGTGAAGAACATCTCGTTTCACAGGAAACTGTTACTACCCCCAAAGTGTACATACGTTTTGGTAGAGTTTTCAAGAAGAGAAAAATCAATTATTTCATACGAGGAAGTTATTTTGGGAAAATCCAAGAATAAAAGGACTTGGTCAATTAAAAAAAAAAGGAGTAAAATACTATGAACCTGTGTACCAGCTATTTCCTTATCATGATATTTAGGCAGGATTGGAAGCCAGTCATAAATTTTATCTTATTAACCTCATCATCTTTCCAGTTTATCTTTGGTCTGAAGAAGCAAATTTAGATATTTTGTAAGCCAGTGAGAATTGGACATAGATACCCTTTATTTGGGGGCCTGTGCCATACATCAAAAAGTCTACCGCCACTCATGCAATAACACCTTATGCTTGTTTTTCTTAAAGGTCTATTCATAGGGGAACAAAACTTATTTGCTAGTATTTTGTATTAGGGAAGTTATTTGTAGGTTGTTATATTCTTATAGTTTAAATATGTATAGGTGTGTTTATCATCTGCTTTTATGAGTACAGCATTGTATGTCAGTTGCTGTACTAAAGTGGAATTTCTATATTAAGAGAGAATAGAGGGAAACATTGGCTATCCACTTCTGATACAAGTGTTCGAAAACCCTATGAACAATAGAGACACACTGTTAGCTGTGG